CTTCTCACGCCTTGCTGTGGGGCAAAGGAGAGTGCACTATTGGTATTAGTGCAATACTCAGAGGTGCCTCCGGGGAGTGGATGTAGGTCTGGTTTTGACCGGAACCCACTATAAAACCTCATGTCTTTATTTTTTCCGCTGCCTTTTTTATTTTTGTGTTTTTAATTGTTAAAACTGTGGTTGAAAATGTTTTCTACAAAACTCATAGAAACTTATATTTTTTCGATTTTAAAAAATTTAAAAAGTGGAATTAATTTTTAATTACCAATTCACCCCCTCTTGGTTAGCCGCTGGGGATATAAACCTTAGGTTTAATTAAACCTAATTTCATAGTGATCAACGTTCAACAAAGTATGCATGGTTTGAATTTTACGGTGCACTGCTTGAACGCCAAAAAATGAAGTTTTACCCTCCTCAATCGAAGTTATCACAACCCGGGTCCCTTCCCACAATGCCTAGAGAATCGTCATGAGATTAGTTTCTGGTGCACCGCTAGAGGATAACGCGTCTATGAGTTAGTTTCTGGTGCACCGCCAATGCCCGAAAATGGGGTTCTGAGTTAGAGGAATTATAAAAATAAACTAAAATAAAAATAAAATAAATAAAACTTGTGCGATGTGACTTGGCGACGATGAACAAAAACATTTCTCTTTTTCTCTTTCTCTTTCTCTTTTAAAATAAAACTTTTTGTTCTTTTCTCTCTTTTTTTTTGCTTGTTTCTTTCTGTTATCATGTATAATAATTATTTTATAATATCACATATAAATATATATTATATATAATAGAACTAATTACATATATTATATATAAATATTACTATATTAATATATATATATAGTATAACCTATATAAACTATAAGTAGTATACTTATAACTTCCATATGCTATTTTACAACAATTAGTACCCAACTTAATTACGTTTGCGAATTTCTCTGTAAAGATTACTAAACGACAAAGGGGGGTGTGAATTTGTGAAAATCGTTTTTCTTAAAAAAACATAACCCTAAAACAAGAGTTCTAATTTTTTTTGTTTTTGAAATTTTAATAACAAAATTTAAGCAAGTTTTCTTCCACAAAATTCACCATGCAATAGTTATGAAAATTAAATGCAAGTAAAAAGTAAGACGATAAGGAAAAAACACACCAAGAATTTTTATAGTGTTCGGTCAAAATATGACCTACGTCCACTCCCCGGAGTCCTCCACTCGGGGATTTTCACTATAAAAATAGTTCTCCTTTTGCCCCCCTTGGCAAGGCGGAAAGGCCTCTAACAAACCTTCCACTTTACCAACCCGGTGTGGCGGGTGCAAACTAGTGTTTCGCCCTCCTAGGCGCACGGCAGAGACCTTCTCGTTTTTCTCCCTCTGGAGAAGGCCAGAGAACCTCGAAGGAACGGATGTAAGACGAGCCTTTCCCTTGGAGATCCTTCCCTCAGATCCTTCTAGGCACAAGAGGGCAAGATGCAGCAAGCTCGAGAGCAAACCGTGTGATCTCCCTGCAACACTTCTTTCTCCTCACAGCTCACCTCCTCGCTTTCCTTCTCAACTCTCAAGAATACTTCTATAGAGTTTTCTCCCTTGGGCATCTCCTCTCTAACCAACGTTCACACCCCTCTGTAAATCTTACGTAGGAAAAAGGACTGAGTTGATATCTAAAAAAGGCTCCAAAACCCTCTGAATTCCAAAGTTAGCAGTTACTATTCGATATCAGTTAACGATTCAACATCGTACAGATACGATCTTCATAAACAGAACGTCGTACCTGGTACGAAGATGTCGACACAGTTCAAAACAATCATCACTTATCAAATAATATCGTACGGTTACGATCCACTAAAATACTATTCGTACAGGACGATGGTCTGAGAGATCTTTAAGATGTCACTCTCTGTTCATTCATATGGTATGATTTATATCGTACGGTACTATGTGACAAAAACCAAGAGCATCGTCCAGGACGATATCCGGGATGATTCATACTCTCTCTCTTATCGATTCGTAGTGGTACGATCTGGTTCGTACGTACATGTTCAAGAATTTAATTAGGCCTGGATTTCATGCACTAATCACGGGTTAATTTAAGTAAGTATTTAAAATTAGATCGTACAGTACGAACATGCTTCGTACAGTACGAACGGCGTAAATCACTTAAACTAAACTACGGCTAGAGTTTTGGATCTGAACATATCTAATTACGAATACATTCGTACAGTACGATCTATTCACAGAATCGTCCACATAGCTTGGATTCTTACGGTACGAATTACAAATCGTACAGTACGATCTCTAGACAAGAAATGTTTATTACATTTTGCAGTTAAAAAACAACTCTCCCCCTGTGTGTGTGCATGGTTACTCTTACTCTTATGCATTTTTGTGGCTAGACTCAATAAAGTAAAAACAAAATAAATAGAAAAATACAATGTTTGACTCATACTCCTAATCTACCTGGTCTTGAGTCTTCCTTTCGTCCGAGTCACTTGTGATCTTCCTGAAATGTTAGTACTCAAGGACAATAGCAAATAAAATAATATTCAATGATATAGTTGTTCCAAAACACTAATTATTTGGCATCATCAAAATCTCAAACTCGGGGTCATGGTTGCAACAGTTGCTTGTGACTAAGGCTAGATGTAGGTGGGGTGTCGACATAGAAATTGGAACTGTGAGAAGCCTTTACAACACACTCTTTCCACCACTACCCGGTACGACAGAGAACCGTCGTCCTTTTACACTATCCCCAGTGCTGGCGGAGAACCGTCGTCCTTTTACACTATCCCCAGTGTTGGCAGAGAACCCTTCGTCCTTTCACACTCTCCAAGTGTGGGCAGAGAACCCTTCGGCTATTCACACTCTCCAAGTGTGGGCAGAGAACCCTTCGGTTGTTCACACTCTCCAAGTGTCGGCAGAGAACTGGATCTCCTTAACATATATTCTCACAAGAAATCTAGAAGGAAGAAAGAAAAAAGTGAGGTAAACCCAAATCACAAGTAGAGATTTGTACCTTTGAATACCAAGTGAAACCTTCACGCTCCAATGGCAAGAAATCTCCTTCAAATACTCTCTCACAC